ATCATAGCAAATTTGGCATTTAATCTGAACCCTGAAGGAGTGATGGAATTTTCTTAAAGTTTTTTTTTTAATGTTTATTTATCTGAGAGAGACAGAGCATGAGTGGGAGAGGGGCAGAGAGAGAGGGAGACACAGAATCCAAAGCAGGTTCCAGGCCCTGGCCCGTCAACACAGAGCCCCACGCAGGGCTTGAACCACAAACTCTGAGATCATGACCTGAGCCAGAATCGGATGTTTAACCAACCGAGCCACCTAGGTGCCCCAGAAGTGATGGAATTTTAATAAGTAGAAATGAAGGGAAAGGAAGAAGGCAGAATTTTCTAGATAGAGAAAGCACTGTGAACAAAGAGCTCATGGTAGCGTAGTTTGGGAATGGCAAAGAAGACTTGGGAGAGAGCAAATTAGACTTGAAAGATTTAAGGGGATTGACTAAAAGACAAACAAACAAAAAAGAAATAAGAAAAATCAGGATGGATAAATAAACTGCGGTACATCCACACAAGGGAATGTGACTTGATGGTCAAAATAAATAAGCCATCAAGCCATGAAGAGACACATGGAGAACCTAAAATATGCATTGCTAAGTGAAAGAAGCCAGCCTACAAAGACAACAAACTATATGATTCCAACTATGTGACATTCCGGAAAAGCCAAAGTATGGAGACAAAAAGATCAGTGGTTGCCAGGGGATGAAGGGAAGAGGCAGGGTTGACTATGTGGAGGGCAGGATGTTTAGGGCAGGAAAACTATTCTGCACAATACTATAATGGTGGATACACACCATTGCACATTTGTCAAAAGCCGCAGAACATACAACACCTAGAGTGAAGCCTTTGACAGTGATGTGTCAGTGTTGGTTCATCAATGACAACAAATGTACCAGTATGAGATGTTGGTAGTGGGGGAAGGCAACAGGAAGTACATGAGAACTCTGTACTTTTCATGCAATTTTGCTGTGAACCTAAAACCGCTTTTAAAAGTAAAGCCTCTTGGGGCGCCTGGGTGGCGCAGTCGGTTAAGCGTCCGACTTCAACCAGGTCACGATCTCACGGTCCGTGAGTTCGAGCCCCGCGTCAGGCTCTGGGCTGATGGCTCGGAGCCTGGAGCCTGTTTCCGATTCTGTGTCTCCCTCTCTCTCTGCCCCTCCCCCGTTCATGCTCTGTCTCTCTCTGTCCCAAAAATAAATAAACGTTGAAAAAAAAGAAATTTAAAAGTAAAGCCTCTTAATTTAAATAAAATGGTAAGTATGGTAAATTTTGTTATGTATATTTTACCAAAACTATTTGAAATGTGAAAAATCACCTTTAGGAACTAACTGGGAGAGAAAAGGAAATAACCAGGAAGGTAATTTGTGGAGACCTAATTGCCAAGAATCTTATATCCCACCCCTACTTTGATTTTACAGTATAGACAAGTAGCTTCCAATCTGTGAAACCAACAAATCACCTAAGGAGCTTTATAAAATATATACATCAGGTCCCTGGGCCTTGTTCCGGAACCACTGAACAGCGATTTTGAGGGTGGTGGTGGTGGTTGAAATCTGTAATTTTTAAACACTTCTCTGAATTGGATGACCGCCAGATTGGGCAGCTTTGTTTCAAACAATGTTGGGCAGCTTTGTTTCAAACGGACTGGTTCTGTCTTGCTATCCTACTTCAGCACTGACACAACACTGGAATAGAGAAAAAGGAAGCTGGTGCGGAGAAGCCAGGCAGGAAACAATTTTAATAGTTTAGAGGACTGGGCGGTGGCTATTGCGTTGAACTTACTCAAAGGAACCTGGGCTTGAGGAAAAGGATCTCATTCACAACTCACCTACTTATGGTCATAGTTACCATGGGAGTGAATGAGATTACTCAGACCGAGAAGACAGACGGAGAATAAGAGGGCAGAGAAAACAGACTCACACATGGTACCCCTTCCATTCTTTATGTCACGCTCACCAATCTTCCCTAGCAGTTGTTAAACCCTGGCTTTATTTGTATTCATTATTTGCTTTATTTTTCATTTTTGGAGGAATCTCCACACTTTTTTCCATGGTAATACATCCCCACCAACAGGGCAGCACATCCTCACCAGCATTTGCTCTCTTGTCTTTTTGATGATAGCCATTTTAACAGATGTGAAGTCCTATCTCCTTGCGGTTTGGATGTGCATTTCCCTGATGCTTGGAGTTTGACATGGACTTCTCAGCCTCACCTGGAGATTCTACTCACTAAGTATAGGATACAGGATACAGGGCCTGGGAGTTTTCATCTCTAATTCCCAGCAGATCCTAATGTTGCCAGTCCATGGACTACATTTTCCAGAACACTGATTTAGATCACTTTATCTATTGCGAAGTATCAGATAAAGGGATCAAGAAAACACCTGGGAGTATCATAAGAGGGCTTCTGCTATCCTTCCCTTATTTAAAAGGAAGGTAATTGCCAAATCCTTTTAACCAAAAGAGGATCATGCACATTTTTGAAAAGGGAACCTACCGTCTTGCTTTCTCCTTATCATGACTTTTCCTCTATTTACAGGCTATCCAGATCCTGTTTGGACTGCTGAACTTTTTCTTTGGAGTTGTTTTCCTTTTTACCCTTGAAAACCCATACCCAAGGTTCCCCTTTATATTTATTTCAGGATATCCATTCTGGAGCTCTGTTTTGGTGAGTATAGGCAATTGAGTTAAATTTGAGGCCACGCCAACAGGAATACTAGGGAATTCTTAATTACAAAATGAGCTGCATTCAGTTGCATGATATGCTTTGAAAAGTTAAAAGAAAAATCAACTTTGTTGAAATTTTTTCCCCATTAATTCATCAGAATTGCTGATGTTCCATCACTGGGCCTCGAAGTTCCTTTGGGAACATTTCCTTGGATCTTGACATTATTTGTCCATTAATTCATTCAAAATAAGTTGCCATCTTTATAAGCCAGACACATGGAGGAAGGCAATGAGGATCCAGAGGTTAATAATACATGGAACCTCACTATGAAAGACGGTATGAAGTTTCCTCAAAAAATTAAAAACAGAACTACTATATGATCCAGAAATTCCACTTCTGGAAACATATCCAAAGGAAATGAAACCCTATGTTAAAGATATATCTGCACCTCCATGTCCGTAGCAGCATTATTCAAAACAGCCAAGATAGGGAAACAACTTAAGTGTCAATCAACAGATGAATGCATAAAGAAGTGTATATACATACTTGTGTGTGTGTGTGTGTGTGTGTGTGTGTGTGTGTGTGTGTGTGTATTACTCAGCCATAAATAACCAAGAAAATCCTGACACTTGCCATAACATGGTTAGACTTTGAGGGCATTATGTTAACGTGAAATAAGTTAGACAGGGAAAGACAAAAACTGTACAATCTCACTTATATTTAGAATTTAAAAAACCTCATAGAACTAGAGCTCAGATTTAAGGTTTCCAGGGGCAGAGAGTGAGGAGAGAAGGGATGGAGGGAGGTGTTCAAAAGGCACAAACTTCAGTTATGAGATAAATAAGCATAACTTCAGTTATAAGACAAATGTACGACAGGATGACAGTTAACACTGCTGTATGATACATATAGAATTTTTTAAGAGAGTCAATTCTAAGAGTTCTCATCACAAAGAAAAATATTATTTTTCCTCTTTTTCTTTCATTTTTTTGGGGGGGGTTGTTATATGAGATAACTGATGTCAAGTAAACTCATTATAATCATTTCACACTATGTTTAAGTCATATCATTATGCTGTACGTCCTAAACAGCACTGCATGCCAACTATATCTCAATTAATCTGGGGGGAGGTGGGTAATAAACAAACAAAAAGAGTAATACATGGGCACTTCCTTCAAAGGGCTCTCAATTTACCAAGAAAGCAAACATGTAAACAGGTCATTTCAAGGTACTGGGATTAATGATACCACAGAGGGTGTAGAAAGTGCTTACAGAAGTCGAGATGAAAGTAAAGTAGGGAATTCTTAATTAGAATTTTTTAGAAAAGTCAAGAAACTTTTTAGAAAAACGTTTTAGAACTGTTTAGAAAAGTAAAGAAACAGAGGTATCTTTGAGCTGCACAGAGACATTTAATCACATTTCATAACATTCAATAAACATTATTTTGGGACCTAGTATAGTGCCAGAGAATAGATAGTGTGTGGGAATTCATAGAAAAAGCAGTTCTCGGTCTCGAGGTCTCTCAAGTGGAGAGTAGGATGATTACCATATGGTGTGATGAGTGAGAACAGACACGCAAGCTGCCTCTAGAGGAAGGGCACCCACAAAAAGGAGGGGAGACTTCCCAGGGATACTTCCAGTCTCATGGGAGTTTTAAAGGGCCAGTGGTTAAGCAGGAGGAGGGCACACACAGAGAAAGGGAGTGGGGAATGGCTGGGGGTAAGGGGTAGGGATATCTTGCTGCCAAGGGAGAAGGGACACTTTCTATTCTGAGAACTGTGTGTTCAGCACAGAGAGTGAGGGTAAGAGGGGAGGCTGAAGAAATACCAGGCAGTGGGACCAGAAACTTAAAAATGGGTGTGCTGTAGTCCCATCTGGAGTTTCCGTCAGATAATGGTGCTACCAGGCATGACTCACCTCCATGAAAATCCTGGGAATTTTTTTCAGAATGCCCAGCCTATTAGCTGGGAGAACACACTGGATCGCAAATGGGCATGAAGGATGTTTCTTTTTATTTTTTTTTAATATGAAATTTACTGTCAAATTGGTTTCCATACAACACCCAGTGCTCATCCCAACAGGTGCCCTCCTCAAGGAGGATGTTTCTTAAAAGGATCACAGAACCTGATCCTATTGGCTGTGAACTGATTTGACACCAATGTGTCGTGATATCAAAGCTGAGTCCACAATAGCTGTAAAAGGAAGATGGATGAGAAAACTAAAGCCCAGTGTTCAAATAGATAGTTAAGACTAAAGCTACTTTCTAGTTCAGTATTTTGTCTGCTACTCATTTGTAGATAGTCACCTGAGGCATCTCGCTCACTGCTTTGAGGATCATAGGAATTAGGAAGGCATGTACAAGAAACACGGAGAGGTCTGTTCTCTGACCTCTGACCTAAACAAGCCCATCACTAAGATATTTATTCTTTTTAATAGTTCATTAATTCTGGAGCCTTCCTAGTTGCACTGGAAAGAAAACCCACAGGAAGCCTGGTGAGTTAGATTTCTCCTTTCCTAAAAAATGTGTAACATTGAAATAATTAAGTCTAGCCTTGAAAATGAATTTGGAAAAACTTTTAACCACTACAATTCCACAAACTGTCAAGTACTGATACCAATTGATGGCATTTTGGGTTTTTTTGTCCATAGAATCATAAAACACTAATGCCAGAAGAGTTTTCTTTTTTTTTTAAAAAAATTTTAGTGTTTATTTTTGGGAGAGAGAGACAGAGTGCAAGTGGGGGAAGGACAGAGAGAGAAGGGAGACACAGAATCCGAAACAGGCTTTAGGCTCTGAGCTGTCAGCACAGAGCCGACGTGGGGCTCGAACCCACGAACTGTGAGATCATGACCTGAGCCTAAGTTGGACGCTTAACTGACCGAGACGCCCAAGCGCCCCTAGTGCCAGGAGCGTTTTCTAGGTAATCCAGTTTCTTATTTATGAAAACACTGAAACATAGAATAAATCCCCAAGTTCCTAAGCCAAAAGTAAAACGGGTCTCAGCATTTCAGTGACATACTCAGTCATTCTTTTTGTAAGTATTTGTGGTCCCATCTCCTGCCAGACATTTCAACAGGCACGAGTTTATTAGCTCACATGACAGGCATACCGTGAAGACAATCTAATTAAACCTTATAAGCAAAAGTTCAAATAAATAATATAGTGTTAATGAGTGTGAGATTTCAACTTACAGATAAATTATAAGTAGAATATTTTTACTTTTCTCAAAGAATCAAAAATGTGAGATATTAATTAACAAGCCAAGAAAGTAATTCCAGCTCAGGGTGTCCCCTGCAGGTTTGAAGTTTGGGGAAGAACTAAAAATTGCAAAGAAATACAATGTTCAGTTAGAGTCATGAAACAAAAACGTTAAGTAGGTCATGACTTTTACCAGGGCATCAAAATGCAATGCAAGGTGACAACGCCTAAGTCCCTTTTTGTCCAGTGTGCACTCCTTCCCCCAAGTAAATGGGAGTTAACTCGGGTACAGATCATGGAGGACAGAAGGATTTTTTCAGAGCTCCCTGGATCCCATTATTCTGCGGCTGAGAGCCCGAAGCCCCAAGGGATGAAGTGTCTCACAGATGATCACACAGCTGCCCAGTGGCACTGCAATGCTGTGACTAAAACCCTCTCCCGGTCTTCCCACTGCTGCTCTGCCTATAGCCTGCGTGTTATGTTCATCTCTTTCAGGTGAAGACAACCCAAGCAATGAATTCTCTTAGTGCCTTGGCAGCAACAGCTGGAATTATTCTCATCGCACTTGGTCTCGTTCTAGATCAAAACTATTTTTGTGGCCATGAAGACACAAATAGCCGGTGCCGGGCCATTAATACCCTATTCATTGTAAGTATGCCACATTTTTACAGTAAGGGATAATGGGGGTAATTGTAAAGATTTATTAGCACCCGATCAGCAAAATCTAAATGACATTGTGGACACATGCACTGTCTTTTATTTACGAACATTTACAGAAATAATAGGATCTTCTAGGTTATACCAGGCATTGTGGAATAGAAAAATAAACGCATTACGACCCCCACCTTTAGGATTTCACAGATGAGTAGAGAAGGTAAAACACGTACCAATGAGTGTAATATAAAAGACCGAGTGTTACAAGAGGAAAACTACAGGTAGAGCAGGTCGGTAGTAATTCATAGCCCTAGAGGTACATTAGAATCACGAGGGGAGTGTTTTTATGGTTTTGGTTTTGGCGTTAATATTTAGTCTGGACTTCTGACAAAACATGGTATACATTGAAAACAGGGATTTATTTCTAATCTTTCCAAAACACCACTAATATTAGTTTAAGGTAATGTAAAGGATGTAAATCTACAGAAAAGACAGTCAACAAGACCCATCAAAATTTGCAGAGAAAGCTGGAAAGTAATCACCTGAGGAAAAGGGAGTCCTTACAGAAGCAAAATATGGTGGGGCACTTGGGTGGCTCACTAGGTTAAGTGTCTGACTTTGGCTCAGGTCATGATCTCACAGCTCATGAGTTCAAGCCCCACATCGGGCTCTTTGCTGACAGCTTAGAGCCTGGAGCCTGTTTCAGGTTTGGGTCCCTCTCTGCCCCTCCCCTGCTCATGCTCTGCTTCTCTCTCTCTGAAAAATGAAATTAAACAATTTTTTTTGAAGTAAAATATTGGGGTGCCTGGGTGGCTCAGTTGGTTGAGTGGCTCAGGTCATGATCTCCTGGTTTATGGGTTCGAGCCCCGCGTTAAGCTCTGTGCTGACAGCTCAGAGCCTGGAGCCTGCTTCAGATTCTGTGTCTCCCTCTTTCTCTGCCCCTCCCACAATCATGCTCTGTCTCTCTCTCTCAATAATATAATAAATAAATGTTAAAAAAAAAAGTAAAAAAAAAAAAAAGTAAAATATGGACATTGCAAGAGCAGACATCCTTCCTCATCTTTTCCCTGTGCTTAGAATGAAAGCATGCATGGGGCACCTGGGTGGCTCAGTCGGTTAAGCATTCGACTTTGGCTCAGGTCATGATCTCACGGTCTGTGAGTTCAAACCCCGCATCGGGCTTTGTGCCGACAGCTTGGAGCCCGGAGACTGCTTCAGATTCTGTGTCTCCCTCTCTCTCTGCCCCTCCCCTGTTCATGCCATCTGTCTCAAAAATAAACATTAAAAAAATTTTAAAAATAAAAGAATGAAAGCATGCAGTTTTTCATCATTAGGTATGCTGTCGGCTGAGGGTTTTTTATATGGACTTGATCAGATTGAATAAGTTTTTTCTCTTCCCAGTTTGTTAAATGTATTTACCATGTGTGTTGAATTTAGTGAAATTCTTTTTCTAGATCTACTGAGACAATCATGAGGTCTTTGTCCTTTATTCTATTATTATGCTGCACTGCATTGATTGCCTTTTTGTCTTAAAGAAACCTTACATTCCTAGGATAAATCCCACTCAGTCATGGTATATAATCCTTTACAAATGTTATCAGGTTCAGCTTTCTAGTACTTTGTTAAAGATTTTTGCATCTATATTTATAAGGGATACTGGCCTATAGTCATCTTTTCTTGTGACGTCTTTGTTTTTTGTGTCTGGTTAATACTGGCATTATAGAATGAGTTGGAAAATATTCCTTCCTCTTATACTTTTTGTTAAATTTTGTGAAAATTGGTATCAAATTTTCTGTAAACGTTAGGAAGACTCACTGGTGAAGTCTCCTGGGTCTGGGTTTTTCTTTGTGGGATGTTTTTACAATCACTGTCATCCGTGTATTTAGGTTTTCTATTTCCTCTTGGATCAGTTTCAGGAGCTTGTCCCTTATTGTCGGCCTGAGTGAATGAAGAAACATGACGATACTGATTTTCAAGGAAGGTTGCCATGGTAATACTGTGTATGTAGGGTTGTCTACCAATAACCTAGCACCTTGAACTAGCACAGAGGAGATAAAATAGCCAAGATGATAAGCCCATCGCCATCAATGGCATCTGTCATTTTGAAGGGGGAATAATTTTGTTCTGGTCATCTTGAGCAGAGGAAGCAGCCTAGTTCCTAATTATGAGGAGCACAGGGCCACCTGTGCATTAGCTGTCCTAATCTTTTAGACCATTTGCTTCCGTGAGGTTTCTAGATTATAGCTTGATGTCTATAATAAGTGTGGTAGTGGTGGTGGTGGTGGAGGTTTCCATGAGATCTTATGAAAAAAGACTCAAGTGTACTCTTTCCCTGATGGTATTTCCAAAATAACCAATCCCCTGCCTAAGGTCACACAAAAATGATTAGCTGGCTGGCAAGGGAAAGTAGTCCACATCTGTTTGGGGGGGGGGGGGCAAGACAAATTTTATAACCAGTTATCAGAAGAGAAGTTATATAATTCACCGAGATATAACACAGAATCAATTCCTGAGGATTTAGTCAATGATTACCAGGAAGTAAGAAGATATCAGGGACAGCAAAGGCCTTAGAAAATCTACCCCTGCCTGCAGATACAAGAAATCAGCAGCCTCCAACAGGTGGAATATATGAAGAAGAGTCTCTCCTACAGCCAATTTCCTACACATAGACAAGACTGGAAAAGGTTTCTTACAAGTTTTTACTAAGCGATCCAAGATAATTGGTCCTAGAGAGGATAGTGGTCAAAAAGACATTTTACTCATTAGTCCTGGTGGCTGAATAAGAAGACAGAATTTTAAATCTATAATTATTCCTTCCCTAAGATTTATTCTTTTTTTTAGTGTTTATTTTTGAGAGAGAGACACACAAGAGTGAGAATGAGGAGGGGCAGAGAGAGGGAGACACAGAATCTGCAGCGGGCTCCAGGCTCTTACCTGTCAGCACAGAGCCTGACGCAGGGCTTGAACTCACGAGCCGTGAGATCATGACCTGAGCTGAAGTTGGACGCTTAACCAACTGAGCCATCCAGGCGCTCCCCCACCCCATGATTTATTCTTATAGATACACAAAAACATAGATAAAAGGCAGATTGGAAAACAGGATGGTTAGTGGCAAAGCTTTGGCAGACTGTCTTTTTCCTCCCCCACCAAGTAAAAAGTAAACAGGAACAAATGTGAAGGGCTAATGAAAAAGTCCTGGGAGACCTGATTTCTAGGACAAATAAACACTATTCAATAAAAAGTGCTAGACTCCCCTTATCAACACGGATGTGCAAACCCTGCACAGGGTTGCTCAAACAGATTCAGTGGAATAGTCACTAAATGAGTCAAAGGACCAGGACCAAAATGGTGAGGGGTCTGGCTAGACCTCTCTGGGGGTCTCTGTGACTGTCTGGCACCTTCAAAGACCACCAGGAAAATCAAAGGCAGTTAAAAGCTGAATGTATTAAATCTGCCAATGAAAGGAGAGCATAGGGTCTCAGATGCAATAAGGGGAAACAGAAAAGAGCATTTATAGGCTTTCATCAGCTGGAGTAGTCACAAGGTAATTTTAGGGGAGAGGAACAGTAGTCTGGAAAGGATCTGGTCAGAGTTGCAAACTAGAATAGTTGCAAGGATAGTCAGTGGTCTAATTTTTGGAAAACATTAATTCACATGGAATTACCATTAAGACATTTCTCTGTAGTCTTACCTTGAACATAAGGCTCTGAGAAGCCTTATGTTAAAACCTTGAACTTAGATATTTGGTCTTGCATCCATATCACGCTTTGGTGCACTTCAATTTGCTGAGTCAAAGTACAGTTACTTTTCAAATCACGATTTCTTTCCATGATCAATTCTTAATAATCTTAACTAAAACTAAAGACTATGAAAATTACCAAAAGGAAAAAGTAGAAGCCACTGGACTAACAGTTAACTTCTCAAAAGCAACAATAAAAGCCAGAGACTGAACGATATCTTCAGTGTTTTGAAACAAACAAAAAAATACCAACCAAGAGCCTATCATTCATGGCCCATTAAAACATCTTATAAGAATGAAGTGACATGAAGTCTCTTCAGAGACACAAAATTCAAGCTTGTCTCCTGCAGAGCAGCATTAAAGGAATAATAATGAACTCCAAGTACAAAGAAAATGATAGCACAATGAGACACAAGAAGGAAGGAAGAACAAAGAATGTGATAAACACATGGACAAATACGAGTGAAGGCTGCTTGTGTAATACAGCAATAATAAGATACACTGAGATTAAAAATAAAGTATTTAAAATACCAGTCAGGGGGCGCCTGGGTGGCTCAGTGGGTTAAGCGGTTGACTTCAGCTCAGGTCATGATCTCGTGGTCCATGAGTTCGAGCCCCACGTCGCGCTCTGTGCTGACACCTCAGAGCCTGGAGCCTGTTTCAAATTCTGTGTCTCCCTTTCTCTCTGACCCTCCCGCGTTCATGCTCTGTCTCTCTCTGTCTTAAATATAAATAAACGTTAAAAAAAAATTAAACAAAATTAAAAATAGAATAATAATAAAATACCAGTCAGAATTAACATGTAAATAGAGAAGGGAGCAAATCGTGTTTTTGCTATTTGAGTTTGCTAAGGGCCTGAGTTTTCCCTGAGAAGAGGGTGAAGGTTTGAAGAACTTTAGACTTTGATATGTTTTAAAACTTAATGGTATCATCAAAAGTAAAAAACTAGCTCACAGATATATTTTGTCTACTATTCCAACAACAACAGAATACACATTTTTGTAACACACACACAAAAAATGATTATATATTGGTAAATATGACAATTTCAGATTAATACCAAAGGTTGAAGTCATAATGTATGTCCTATGCAATAAAACCATAAACAATGATTTAAAATAATTTCAAAAGCCCCTACGTGGTTGGATATGAAGAAGTGTGCTTCAAAGGAATTATCGGATCAGAGAAAAAATTAAAATATAAATCCAAACATGTTCTGAAATGAAAGCTCAAAACCTTGAGGGCAGAAGGTAGA